CTTTTGCTTGCTACTTCCTCCTTATCGTCAACATTCCCACTTCTTGCTCATGAGAGAGCCCAATCCGGTAAAGTTTTGATCGCGCGGCATTGTATCGTGTAGGCCACTTATATCACTTGCATATTTGAAATCGTTTTAAGTTTGCCAAGTCTTGTTCTTCTTGGCAACGATAAGCTCAACTCGTCCGGATCAATCGCTTTCAGATCGATTTTGTTCTCCTTTTGATCAACGTTTCAAGTCACCCACCGACTGGATCGCATCGATATATACGTCCCTGATTTTTCAACTAGCGCACAAAAGAGCTTCATTATTTTAAAGTCTTCTCTTGTCTATATTCAAAATGAATATGCACTAGTGGATTCACAGCAAAAGCAGCAATTTTTGGACAGCATGGCAACGAACTCGTAACTACTACAAATTTGTCAAAACGAAATTCTTTTAAGTGTGTATGAATCCATGGACCAAGGTTGAGTGCGAGACATTTGCCGATGTGATTCACTTGAATGATCAAGACGAGTGGATTCGAAAATTTGGACTCGTTGGAGGCAAACCAAGATTAGTGTTTGCATCATCCAAAACCTTTGATCAATTATTACAACGTTTGAAAAAGAAGTAACCGAGTGATATAATGAGTTAAGGAACCAGGTGTGGCAACTCGAGCAGGAGAATTTTAATGAAAAAATGAAGCACAATATTTTTAAGCTCTATCATGATGAGAACTCGCCCAGTCGTCCTTACTTGACATATCCATCCTCGGCAGTCGAAGCAATCATGAGAGTGCGTTATCAAGTTTAATCCGCTGATGAAATTCGCGGATTGCTGTAGAATCCAGCCCCGAAATCGCAGTCGTAGCGAGGCAAAGAAATTGAGAAGTTCCTGCTACAAGATATTGGTACCAGCGAATTTTGTATGAGAGCACTCGAAGGTAGCTCTGTTGGAACTGTCACGCGACATGGCCCATTTAATGCATCGTCTGAGGTCATTCAAGCGTCATCCGAAATTTAGAATAAATTGGTGCTGTACATACCGTTATCAACGACTTTTGATATCACCTGATGGTGTGCTTGTCGTCCCGCGAGATGGTCGTATTATTTACGTTCAGGCGACGGTGGCCACATAACATCCCATCAAACATCAACAGTTGAAAAATGTATGTTAGTATTTGACGCAGCGCCATGAGTTTTAAGGCTTTAAACACATTTTTCTCTTTATCGTCACGAACGAAATCTATTACAGTTTCAGTGTTCAATCTTACAAAACAAAGATTGGCAGAACTGCAGTATGGAAGCTGATATTGACGTGACACAGTATGCTAGAAAGATTATATGGTAATAAAGCAACAATTTCAAGAACCATCTTGGATCACGTTTGCTCTAAGGCTCAAAAGAACTCAACACATCCGAGCTCGATACAATTATATGAGCACATTTTGCAGAGATGTCCAATGAACGGCATTCTTGTCGAAGGAAAACTTAACAGTATCTTCCTACTCTGTGATATATCGATGAAGCAACAACCTTCAAACACCGACTTCGAGACGAGCGAACTACAATTTCTCCAGAATATCGCGATTTCGAGTGCGCTACTAATTTCAACATTATTACCACACAATGAAGGATTGCGAAAACATTTCATAAGCTTTACTCAGCGCTGAATTCATGACCGGTAAAGTATCAGATAATCTATTGCAACCAGTGTGTTTTCCGCCATTGTATCTGTCGCGTATCGGCACACAGTATCGTACGATGTCTATAATTCGATGAGGACCGAGGCAATTGTAACGATTTCAAAGTAAGTTTCTGCGTCTGTACTCTGTGAATGATCTTTTTTGGTATTGAAACATAACTTGAAAAAAATTGACACGAACATTGAACGATTTCATTTGCTTAAGACAATTATGTAGTAGATTGTTGCTATTGTAGCATGTACCTTATTCAACAAATGAGTCTATTTTTTCTGATGATTGACGAAACGCAGTGCCCACAGTGCGAGTAGACGGAATAAAATGATAAACGCAAAGACAATTCCAAAATTTTGCCAGATCTCACTGCGCTTCATCAAAAAAATGTCTTCCATGTAATCTTTCACCGTAAGATTTTCAGGAAGGGAAGGCGGTAGTCCCGTCATGACTTGGCAGCCAATTTCCGAGCCATCTCCATCACTTGGACAATCTCCAAAGACTAGAGACGTTGCTAATGCCAACGCATATTTGTGCGGTGTAATGTGGTAAAGCCATTTGTATCCTGTTGGAATTAAATCTCCAGGAGGATTAAAGCCGGTGAAAAGAAAGAAAATCATCTGAATCAGCACACCGAAGATTGTCGCAACTTCGACAGTAGGCATGAAATAAGCCATGAATTGACCGAAATACGCTTGAAACAGCACAAACATCGACAAATGAACCCAATAGGCGAAGAATGTGGTCACATTCGTAAACCCAACCATTGGATAATATGGAATCATGAAAAGCATTGTTCCAATAAAGACGTACGGAATCTCTACTACAGTCGCACCAACGAAATACCACAGAGCATTATACGTTTGAGATGCACGCTCGCGGTAGAAAGCAAGACGATCGTCTGATGCAACGGGCATGACACTGCTAAAAGCAATAAAACCAATAAAGGTGTTTGTGCTGAAGAGCATGCCCATGCCTGAGTTGATACCAGCGTACGACGTGTACTCCGAATCGATATACGTGATGCCAAACACAAGTCCAAGTATTATGAAAAGACTGAGACGCGTCAAGTTGTAAGATGCCGTACGCCAGTACATTCGAAAGAAACGCTGAAGTAAAAATTTGGCCTGGATCATCTCAGTCGCGGCGCGTTTGTCTCCAAAGGTCAATTCAGAATACTCGGGAGAGGGACTGGTCACACCTTCGCGATTAAGGTTTGATTGCAACAGCTCAAAGTTTCGACTAGTTTGAAAAGCTTTCACAAAGTCGGTTTTGTCGCCATTGCTGTTGCCAACACCGGCGCCAACTACTTCAAGCATCCAAGTCGCAGGATTGTAATTGTCTCCAAGTTTCGCTACACCGTCGATCGACTCAAAGTATGCGACCATTGCGCTTGCATTCTTACCAAGTTCACCCGAAAACACCGTCTGACCACCACGCTTCAATAACAAAAGACAGTCGAAAACATTAAACACTTCTGTCGAGGGCTGATGGATCGTACAGATGACCGTGCGACCTGTGTTTGCTACTTTACGAACTCCATCCATAATAAGTTTGGCGGAACGAGCATCTAGACCACTGGTAGGCTCATCTAAGAACAAAACACTTGGTTGAGCTGCCAACTCTACGCCAATAGTCAATCGCTTCATCTGTTCCACGGAACTTCCACGAATGATCTGATCAGCAATTGGATGCAAATCCAAAAGATCAAGACATTCATTCACCGAGTCGTACTTGTTGCTGTCAGGTACCTCAGCTCCTTGGCGTAAGAATGCACTAAACGTAAGTGCCTCGCGAAAAGTAGCCGATTCAGAATGGATGTCCATCTGTTCACAATAGCCAGTAGATCGACGGATGGCGAGGTCAGACGCGGGATAACCATTTAATAAAATCTGACCTTTAACTTTTCCACCAGTTTTTCGTCCTGCGATAACGTCCATAAGTGTGGTCTTTCCTGCACCCGACGATCCCATCAATGCCGTAATAGTGCCAGGTAAAGCATATCCACTGATGCCTTTAAGTAAATCGATAGTTTCCTTAGGATTAGTTGGGTCAGGCACAGAATACCATAAATCCTTGAAAGCAAGAGTGACTGGAATAAAGTGTTTCTCTCTGTCAGGGCTCACTGACACTACAGCATGACTTTCATCTGGCGAGCTCCGTGGCGTAGAGATAAGTCCATAATTGTCCGACGTCTCCCCCTTGTTCTCACTATCGAGCGTCACGTTTTCTGGACTTTCATAGCGGTGATATTCCAGAGTAATAAACGACATGAACATGAAGAAAACGTATGCTGCCGCCATAAAACACATACCATACCAAAGCCAGAACTTCTCCGATGGCACTTCAAACGTCGACAATGAGTACTCACCCATTGTCAAATTGTAATCAGTGCAATAATCAACATTGTTGTATACACATACATCAAAGCTTGAGTCGGTGTATTGATTTACAGCAAGGGCTCGGACACTCCATGCCATGGGATTGATCCAGTAAATCCAAATGAGATAGTCGGGAATTTGTTCTTTTGTGATGACAAAACCAGCGAAGAGGATGAAGAAAAGGATGGAAACCATCGAAATCGGGTTCGCCACGTTTAAATTTGGTGAAGCACACGACAGGAAGAAAAACCATGCCGACATTGCTAAATTTGTTGCAAATAGCATCACCTCAAACAGAAGAAAAGCATCTACGGTAGACACGTATCCACACATCCAGTACAAAACGGACCCAAAGACTAAACTCTCAGCAAAGCCCAATGGAATTTGACTTACTGAATTTGCAAGAACAAATGACGATGTACGAAAGAAATTGGATCGGCGTTGCTTGTAAAAGACCTCACGTGCTGCGATAAAAACTGGAATCTGTGCCTGTTGTCCTAGCGACACAAACAGGACAGCGTAAAAGATGAGACCCATCACTAATTGTGCATTCGTCTCATCAAATTGGTAAAATACGCTTGCATAGAGTAAACCCATTAAAATCACCATGATAGAGCGACCAGCGAGAAAGGCTGTATCCCGCATCGTTAGTGTGATTTGACGTTGTACAACACCAACTGTGCTTTCCCAAAAGTCGAGATGGAACTCAGGAATTGGATCAATATGCTTGACGTGATCTTCAAGCAAATTCGGTTGCACTGGACCATGAATCTCTTCCATCATTTGTCCGTAAATGCTTGAGCGAGTAAACGCATCGGCATATTGACTAGCTGTATGTGGAATACTGTTTGTTGATATTGACTCGACTTCATATTGCGACTGCTTATCAGTTCCCAAGTCCAAAAGGAAATCAGCAACATCGCGACGTGGAGGACACTTAAAGCCAAGATTTTCAAAGTACGTCAAGGCCTCAGCTTGTGGACCATGATACATGATGTGACCTTCATTCAATATAATGACGTCATCGAAAAGCTCAAAAACTTCAGGTGATGGTTGCAATAATGAGATGACGATGGTCTTCCGAAACTTTTTGGCAATACTACGTTGTGTAGTAATGATATCAAAGGTAGCAGCACTATCGAGACCCGTGCTAATCTCATCCATCATCATGACACACCTGTTACCAAACTCCATTTCGCCTGTAGTCACACGCTTTCGCTCTCCTCCAGAAACACCACGGATCATGGCATCACCGACAATGGTATTCTGACACTTTTCTAATCCGAGCTGTTGGATAACGATATCTGGATAATGCTTGAACATGGCTCTAGCAGCTTCAAGAGCAGCTTGATTCTCTTCAGGTGTACCATTAACATAATGCTGAGCATCGCGTTCCGAGAAACCTCCACCACAACAAGCGTGAGCAAATTCTAATGTTTCTTTGACTGTCAGCGATGGATAATGTTTATCTCTTTGAGTGACGTACGAAACAAATTGTGGCAGACGTCGAAGCAATTCGTTGGCTGGTGTGCCGTTGTACGTTACTTCACCATCTATTGTGACATTTTTCTGGTCGGGAAACCTGCCACTTAGCAGCTTCATCAACGAAGATTTTCCGGATCCAGGCTGGCCAAGCACGAGTGTAATGGTGCCTGGTTTAAGGACACCAGTAACATTCTTGAGAATATGTTTCTTGACTGTGTGTTTTGTAGCGACTAATCCACGTATACCCCCCGTAAATTCATTCACAAGCGTTGGCAATTCAATCTTGAGGTTCGTCTCATCTTTAACAGTGATATCGGCCGAAATGGAAACGTTTTTAAAACGTACTTCCATCTGAGGGAGTGCTCGACCTAGTGCCTTTTCCATACGAGAAGCTACATGTTCGTGCAAAGCTTGTGGTCCTTGTGCCATCAATGTCTTGCCGTTTTGATACTCTATGGAGGCTCGCATTGGCTTGCCCGACGATTCTACTTGATCCGATACCATTTGATTGATGGTGATATTGAGGTGTGTGATGAGTTTTTTTTTCTTAGCTAATGTAGATGAAATAGATTGTAGATGATGTTGCTGTGAGAGCTTCAATTGCAGAGTGAGCTTTGAATCGTCGGTGAAGAGTACATGACGTCATGGAATTGACAAATACCCATTGATTATGGCCCTCATAGTGTAGTAATACAATGCTTGCACAATAGACGTATGTTTCTCGTCTCATTGTATACCTAGATAAATAAGCATAGGTTATGCATAAATAGAACGAGCGATTACGGAGGACATCAGGACGAACTATCTTAACCAATCAAGCGCTTTATTATATGCGTGCATCAACTGTGACGCCATGCCGTGAAGACTTTACACGAATATTATCAGTTACCGGAAACGTCCTTCAGAACCGGGTTCTTGCAATAGTGCGTTGTTTTCTTGAATTCTCTCGTAATTTTTCATAGAGAAACTAGCAAACTTAAAAATTTCTTTGTGCAGGGTAGCGCAACAACCTTACGTTAAGTGTCGAGAGCAAGTTTAACTTCGAAACGTGCTTACCAAACAGAAGCTGGACACAAACAAGATCAAGCGGTATTTCTTGTTATTCGAAAATAATGACGCTAGACTTTAATTTTGCTGCTTAAGGTTTAGTAATCAACATCAAAAAGTTTAGTGATCACAACCACCCGATGATAGAACTTATGCTGCCAAATCTTCTGCTTTCAATCATCATGACAATAAGTTTCTAGCTGCAGTTTTTAGCCTCTCATATCTACAATAGCCGGCAAATGGGCCGGCAAGTTTGTGGAGCTTTTTTTGGTATAAAGGGGCAGACCAAGGACTTAATGTATCGCAGAATGACCAAAAATGTTGTAGTATTAAAACATTTATAACCATAACACAACACGCGGTGCTTCTACTAACAAAACTTCGCTGATAGCACTTCTTGTCCAGCGTGGTTCCTTTTAAGGCATTAGCTATTGTCAATCTGACTTTTGTAAGTCACTAAACGCCAGAAAATATCTTCTAAGCCAAGTTGTGGTGACTGACTGTAATACGGCCTACAAATCTGTAAGGATTGAGTAGAGAACGACAAGTGCATCGAGTGCGTTCGATTGGTGAATCAAGCGCAGTTAGACTATGTGAAATAGAATTCAGAGTAGCCCCTACACAGGAATGTAAATCGAAGCACAACAGCATGTGCGTCACGAAGTGTACTGCAACAGAAGCAGAGTGTATCAGACATCGAGTTCATATGGGTTAGCGCCCAGTTCTCATCATTATCGGCAAAGGCAAGGTTGCACACTACACTTAAGCTACGAATGAGCAGCAATAGCAAACAAAAGAATCACAAGATGCTGAATGGAGTTACTAGTAGAAAACAATGGAATAGAAATTGCCAGAGTAGGTGCAAGGAACAAGCCGCACCTCAATTGTATACGTCTGAGTTGTCTTTATAGTGTCGACAGCGGCGTAATAACTCACCAAAGAGCAAATCAGCTGAATTGATGTCAGTCCTGATGTGATATGTGCTTTTGAATACTTCAACCGTTGACAAATCTTTCAGTGGTTGATATGTGTTGCTGACGACGCTATTAGATGTTGGACATGCTGTTAAATGTGCAAATATTGTTCATACGTACTATAGCGTTGACGCGAAGAGCTCGAAAAAACGAGATCTTTTTCATTATGAGTCAACCAAACTAGTACGACAGAAAGTGCCTTCTGGTTGTTGAAATCGTCAACGAGTGTACCGATTTTATAAGTATCGTCACAACACTGTTTCAGAAGCTTTGACATCAAGTGACGTAGCAAGCAGTTAAGATCAAGTCAAACGATAATATTTATTTGCTTGTAATAGTCTGTCGCCAAACAGCATAATTGATCGCAAAAACTCCATTGACCACTCAGAAAATGGTCAATTTATTCGCAGCCTCCTGAGAATACCTAATTTGCTTAAGCCACTTTGGGCGGACGCCATTTCCATTTCAGATACAAAGCACAAAGAGGAAACTTTAGATTTTACTAATAAAGTCATTGAATGAATGGTTCGTTGTCAAGGCGTTGCAATTTTTTAGCTACTTTCACAATGCCTGGGCAGCCAATGCACAAAGTGAACCCAAGCTGTGGACTATACTCATGCTTAAAGGTGCCACTCAGGGCCACTATCACCTTCTAATTTCATGGATATTCCACCTGTCATTGCACAATAATTCCTCGCTGAAAGCATACGCCCGGAGTCGATGCGAGTTACTGCAAAAAGTCCTCGAGATCCCGAGATATCAGCGATGGCCATACTGCATGCAGGGTATACAGATTAGTGGTATGGCAAAGTTCTGAAAGTCAAAGAGATTACTCTTTGCTTGAAAGAATAGATGATATGTTATCTTATGGAAAATGCAGGAGATAGAGTTGATCCACCAATTGGATGTATATCTGGAATGCAATATACGTTGGAAAGAGGTCATGGATATCTGAAAAACACCAAGTTATTTGAAGGTGACAGGTTGTGGTTTCAGAGGATAGATTGTTAAAAGACGTTCGTATTGCATGCGTGCAATACAAACGTCTTGATGTACAGGATCAAGCTATTTGTGCTTGTATATGTGTCAGCTTCTCTTTTATCCAACCATGTGTCGTCCTATTGTGTTAGGAAGTCTCATTGAAAGGATCTGCCCAGATGAAAATGTACAGGATCATAATTGTTGCTATCAAGCCGAATTCAGAAATGTTACTTGTCAAACGTTACGATTGGACTGAGTTTTTCACATGTGCATTTGGCTATGATACGATTTGAACGTTCACATACACAGTATGTGAAAGATAGCATCGAGGTGGTGGGGATGTGACAGTAGGTGTTTGGAATATTGCAGCATTGTTTTGTTTTTGTCCGCCCATGCGATAATGCAAAAGTGCTAGTAATAAATAAGCACCTGGATAACACCTTATGATAACATCGTCCAACAAATGACATCACCATATGTGATGTATAATCTATTACTTGGCAATAGACTTGTTGACATCTCAATCTACTACATCAATACTACTCTACCCTCTTTATAAAAATGAATAACAATTGTAGCGCGGGAGTTTCTTTGATAATACAGTCCACTGGGGGGAGCTCGACTTTGGGGTGAGAGGTCGGCTTGGGGCGGTAGGCCTGAAATGAGCTCACATCTGACACCGTCTCTGATCCCTTACTGTCCTCTTCGGGACCCTCAGTCTGAATCCGCTCAGGGATCATGCCCCCCGTGTGACGGGTCACACGGCACCTTGCACAGAGGAAGCTTGACTTCCAAGAGTATACA